TTTTATTTGCTTTGTGGGGTGAAAATAAAGTTAGATCACAATACTTTTTGTTCGAGTTTTTCACCACGAGGTGACCACTAGTTCTTATTAAAACAGAAGTAAAATAGACATTTTAAATGTTTATGATTTTGAAGTTACTATTTAGATATTTTAATAATTCCTCTCTTGAAAAAGCTATTGCAACTTATTAAAATGTCTTCAGTTTTGTAACAGATTTTATCGAACAATACTATTAATTGAAAAATGTTTTTTTACACTATAAAACCTCGTTTCCATAGCCCTATCATGCTGGTTCGCAAACTAGTTCGAATAGACTTTGGCTTACACATTCGTAAAACATTTCATCAAAATGGGTTAGTATTTACTTGAGTTATCGTGCTAACTAACACATACGTATATAAATTTGAACGGTTGATGTTTTGGACCTCAGGAGACAACAAAACGAAAAGGTTAAGCGATCCCAGGTCTAGGTCTTGCTATGGTACCTACGGCAATAGCTTGTCTCCTATATGTAAAATTCACTCAAACATAACAAATCTTATCCAAAACTGGAATTTCCCTTTGAAACCCCTCCATTCGCATAATCTTAACCAGAAAGGTTGCTTCGTGCATTATGCAAGACTTGTTAAGACAGCAAAGTACTAGGTTGGTATTTTGAACTGCCTCAATGCACAAATGAATGTTCTCAACTTTAATTAAAGTCTCGTTTGCCAGTTCTGTTTAAACAGTTAATCAAAATCTAACAAGGTTAAAAAGCTAAACACCGAACTAACAAAAGTAGTTTGTACCGAGTCTGCACTCTCTGCTTTGGTATTTGTGGATCTTTAGTTTTTAATTATTTTTTAATTAAAGCTGTATAATTTAAAAGTTATTAGTTTTTGTGATGCTGTCACTAAGACTAATCTAACTCATAAACACCATTTAGCTGAAAGTATATCGATATTCGGAATAAAGAGAAAACTTAGTGAAAGTATCACTAACGTTATGTTCACTCTAGTAGTTTTACTTGAGATTTTTAACGCAGAATTACGCTAGAATTTGGAAACTTCATTTAAAAATGCTCCAAGAACATTTAGAAATTCAAGTAATTATGTGGATGAGATTGCTATTTTAATATAATTGAACACATTTTAGAATATATAAACATACGTCTTAACTTCACCAAATATTCCAATTCTTATTTAGTTAGCTTCATCAGTGTCAACTAAAATTATTCGATGGTGCAAAAAAGGCACAAATGTAAACATTTACAGTTTTCTAACTGTTTCCATATTAAATTAATATAAAAATAAATGTTCCTTAAATATATTAAATAATTCTGTTAAACTGAATTTTATATTAACCTCGAAACCAATATTCAATTACTTTTTTTGTGATTCACAGATATGATTGTACTTAAGAATATCACTAGAGTGTCTAATCTTTTTAATATGACTGTGGTATAATCTATGGTTTCTTATACACGATTAAGAAAAATATTCAATTTGAGACCTCAATCGTGAAAATTAGTGGGGTAGAAGAGTGAAATGTACTAGAAGAATAAAACCAAACGTAACTCCCATAAGAAATACATGGGGAGCAAATTTCGTTTACGTATAAGCCGAGTGAGACTGTAGATAAATATATGCCGATGCTTGATTTAAAATCTGTGCATGCATACCATCAATTTATGACCACGACCATAAAAATCGGTCTGGCAGAAGAGCTAAACGAACTCGAAAAAGAAAAACTAAATTTTTTTACCATATAAGATTCTAACTAATCCCAAAAAATTAGTCTAAGTAAACGTTAGATTAACTACAAGCCAAATAATAAAAAATAATAATAATTAGCCATTGATAAATATTTCTTACGCCAGTTATGTAATTTTAAAACATAATCTGCAATTTATATTTAATGTACATATTTTTACCCTGCATTTTCAGTTAACCTGTCACATAAACTATTGATAATCATATTTTTCTAATGTTATTGACACAAGTCGAATGTCAACAAGCCATCGCTTGACAGTGATTGAGTTTGCCACAGTACGTGACAAAGTGGCAACTGAGACAACAGGAAGATGTACGTGGAATAAAAATGTGCACGATCTTTACACTTTTGAATAGTGTAAACCAAAGAGTGTAATCTATTATTACAAAAAATAAGAGTTACGAATTGTGTACCATATTCCTAAAAACGAGAGAAGTCTAGGAGTGAAATCCGATGCTTCAGTCTTGTGTTCAAATCCTCTCAATCGCCAATGAATTTCCATGTGATAATGCCACAACGCTGTATGCCTTGCTTGAAGTAATATGCAAAATAGTACCAGACCACAGCATAGCGTCCTAAGATGTAAAATGGGACATTAAAAGACGAAGAGCATTCCAACAAATAAGGCACTACAAAGCATGATAATATTATGCTATCAAAGAGTCCCTAACTTGTCATTTTTCATATAAAAGTACAGCAGGGGATGAAGGTGAATGTAAAGGGTGTGCTATAAAGTGTCGGCTGCCCATGTACACTAAGCGCAGATACTTTATCTAACTTGGCTTTTATTGTTGAAAGATAGGGTATTATTTCAAGTGTCCTAATTTATTTGTTAGTAAATATTGCAGCATATCTCAGGTATAACGATACAGTTGCATTATATTTAAAAATGTGGAGCTGGACTGGTGGTTAGTCTGAGACTATCCCGGGGCATCGATTCAAATCCCGCCGTTTACCTATTATTTTTATTTTTATTCTCACATGACGCTAGGCACAAGTACTTTCTGTTTGGAAATTTGTGAAATTGTTGCAATTAATTATCAGCCCCTCAACTTATACTTCTGCAAACCATATTCGACCTTCTTTCAAATGATTCATGCTGTAGACATGACCTTTCGTGGGGTTAGAAAGTAGTGCTTCTTGGTTATGGGGGTTCGGAGCCTATCTAATGTATAGGTCGACTTATAAAATATACGACTCTCAGGAGATAAAAAACTGTAGTTACTCGGGTAGGGATGTGTTTAAGGCTTAAGTTAATGAGGAGTTTCTCTAGACCCAAGAGGTTGAAACGCAAGACTTCAAAGTTCCCGGGGCTTTAATCTAAATGGTTTTCAGATAAATAATACTTGTACCTTTACTTGGTGGTTACGGGTCCAACTTAAGTTTGTCCATTCATCAAGTCTTTCATACAAGAAAAACTGCTTCTCAATCAAATTACTATATTATTTGCTAAAAAATTATTAATTTGATTTGTTTGGTGTTTTTTATTGGTTGATCAACGGATTTTTAAGAAGATACATTGGGAACATATTTCAAGAATAAATTCGAAGTATGTGTATTCAGTTGAAGCTAAAAATCAAATAGGTTAATTTTTTTCTAACTGTATTGCATTATTTCTTTAAAATTTATTTAATTATTTATTCTTTCAATGGTAACACCATTTTTACATTCGAATACACATTAAAAAGGATAAAATCACTTTATAAACATGACATAATTAGGTAATAAATATGAGCAATAATAAGAATAAATTAGAAAGCAGGCATGACATGCAAAAGACATAACCAGTATTAAAGAAAACAAAAATACATTACATAGGCTGGATCATTTCAAGTGTATGACATACATAAACATAGCAAATTAGGTATAGGCTACTAAAATACGTGCAAGAAATCAGAATGAAAGTGAATAGCAGGCATAACATGCAAAAGACATAACCAGCAAATAATATGGCACATAAATAAAAACAACCACAAACATTGTGATGACATAGTCTTTTAATATAATAGTAAACTGTGTGCGGTACATTTAACAAGTGTAACACTAATACATTAATAATACACTTAATAAATTTATTTATTTAGATGCAAAAAGGGAAAATCAATTAGTGGAGATACATTATTATATGTGGAGAGATATTGGTTTTCTTTCTTTTCAAAAGCAAATGTTACAAAGATCACATTCTGAAGATTCACGCTGACTTCATGTTTTTTAAAGTGTTCTGTTGCTCAAAAAACTAATTGTAATTGCACCCTTGTTATAGTAGTTTAATCGAATTGTAAGAACTCAGTCGGTCAATCTCTATAATTTACGTTAGCAAATATTTTGTGAAATGAGAGTCATGCAAACATCTATTTATTTAAAGTGCATTCAAATAAATTCCTAAATGTGCTATCGTTATTTAAATAGCTCTTTCATTAAAAACTAAAGGATAAATGAATTTTTCCTTAGGTAAGAATACCCCCGCCGCAGCAAACCTGCCGACTAAGCGAATTTCCATTTCTCTGAATGATTTTCAATTGAATCTATTTAGGTTTAACGAGTACCTAGGTTTGCTGCCACAAGGAAACTAAAACTAATAAAGTGTGTTTTAGTAAAATATTAATAGCTTAGTATAAAATAAATAAATGTTCCCAGTTTGATCTAAATATATCAATATATCCATAAACAAACAAACTACATCGTTTTCAATATTCTCCATAAGAATAACATGGGAATTTTTAATTTACAATTTTTTGAATTTTCTCCGTTACCAATAACCGTACAAAAACAGTTTGATATACTAAATTATTTGTTTTTTTAAGCTCTTTAATATGGTCTAGAGATAAATTGGGATTTTTTTGTTTTGGGGGTCAAAAATGAGAAAAACCAATTTTTACCCATTAAAACCCACCGGGAAACCCCGTTCCCATGGTCCGATCATGCTGGTTCGCGAACTCATTCAAGTTTATGTCGCCTTACACCTTTAAACCAAATTTCATCAAAATCGGACAAAAATTACTCAAGTTATCGCGTTCACGGACACATATATATATATAAATCTATATATATATACATAAATAAAAATTTGAACGAATGGTGTTTTTGGCCTCTGGGGACATCAAAATGAAAAAGTAAATCGGTCCCGGGCCTAGGTTTTACCATGCCACCTACGGTAATAGCTACTTCCCTATAGGGAAATTCGCTAAAAATGGAAAATATCCAACGTTTTATGCATGTGAGAGTGTAACTGTAAGCGTGGAGAACTGTTATTCCCAGGTTGCATGCGACGGGTTTGCGTCAACGGGAATGATGGTTGGAAAGGGTTGGTGGTTGCCGGGTGGTGGTTTGGGGGTTGAGTGAGTGTTGGGGTTGGTTGGGGGAGGAGCTGCAACTGGGTGAAGGACTCTCAAGGTCGCACGTGTCGCCACTTTCCATTGACTGGTCGGTTGCCATGACAACGTGACGTCACAACTGGGGGAGATGGAAGGTTTACAGCAGAACTTACATCGATCCTTCCAACTCCCGACCTACCCCCATCCCTGCTGTGTTGAGGAAAACCCCAAACAAATTACTCTGATTAACATCCGACTGTTTTGTTTACCGCATTGGATATTTACATTTGCAGCATTAAATCCGTTAGCTTCCCGTTAGCTTCCCCCCACCCCACGTTGCATTTGGGTCGAATTGTATTGGGGGGGAAGGTTATTCCGAAAACATGTATGGTGACTGGTAAAATACTTTTTTTAGATACGATGAAAATAAAATAAATATCCTAAATCAACCTGGCCGATAACGGATGATATTCATTAAATGATTTATGTTGAACATGATTTTAGTGTCATCCATTATCTGACTTCTGCAGTGTGGTTAGTTGAGAGATGAAAGTGCGAGGCGTTGTCCAAATGACACTGGGTTAAGCCCTTACAACCACAAATGGCTATATTCATAATTGTTGGGCTAGTTTTACTAGTGGAAGTGATTCACTTTAAATAATGCTGTCTCACAATTCACTGCATCGGTCAAAATGTACGTTTTCAGCAAAATAATTTTTATGTTAAACGTTTAGGCTCATTTTGTACTAATTATTTTTTAATTTCTGGCCAGAAAGTTAGACATTGCTTTTTGGTTAGGTTTTAACAGCTACCTACACTTTTTTATATAATCCCGACTTAAACCATTTATAGCGGGGTACTTCAGTGGATACATTGCTCATCTAGAATCGGTAGGCTGCTAGACCGATCCTGAGAAAAATATAAACTTGTCAATGGTTTGATCAGCTGCCCTTGTTAATTGTGTTTTCTAGCAAAGGATCTTGGCCAAAGAAACAGCTGATCTTAGTAACAATGCCTCACGGCTCCCCCGTTTGTTTTGATGAAAGTTATGTCACAGGATCATAATAGTGATAAGGTGAATCTGTAGGTCCACTTTTATGGAAAACAAATTAATATTTCCCCTAGGAAAATAACTTTTTTTCTTTGGAAAACGTACTAAGGTAATACGCAATCAACACTCCAAATTTGGTATTTGTCTCACAGCTGTAGAATTACGCTTAACACGTTCATTAAGAGTGTGTAGGAAGGAATTCCTGGTACAGTTGGATTTTTTAGCTAGAAACGATTAAGGTATGATGGACTATCATCATGGATTAAAAGAAGTAGACACTATAATCCTTTTATCGATGCTATCATTCAAAATGAACTTCATTGATTGCAGAGTTATCAAATGTGTCGGGTTTTCGTGTATTTGCTTATCGTTCAATAAAATAAACAAACGTTTGATGGTTTTAATTGAGTTTTGCCTATTAGCAGCCTTGTTGTATTATAGTACTTACTAAGGAATTCTCGTTATAGAAAACAATATTAGTAATTTAAATGTGTAGGTTTTTATAAATACCTCAGTATTTACTGAATTTATAAACTAAACTTGACTTTTGCTCCCTAGGTCTATCAAATAATGTTAGTCATTTTGGTATTCAGCATAATGATACAGTATTACGTGATACATTAGTGAACTATTTGCTATACAATTACCTTTTCATTGTCATTTTAATAGATCGTTCGGTATTACATAAAGGATTCTATCTTTCTTTGAGAGTTTTTAATTCTGGCCACTCAGTTAAAAGCAGGAACCCTTAGCTAGAAGGTAGGCTTTCGCCTTTATGTAAGGAGAATTTCACACGACAGCTCTTACAAAAAGATTTAATATTTTGACATTGGCTTGTTTGATTAATTATATTCAAAACAACAAGTTATAACTTAGGGAATCTAATTTAGTAAAAACTTTTTCATTAAGTCAGTAGATTAGGAAAGGAGTTATGTTTTTATTTCACAGTAAAAATTCTCTTAACAGGCAAATGATTTTATTACAGAAGAGTACGTAGATAACTTAACTGTTTCTTGCTAAGCAAATCAACCTGTAACTAGGTTGTTTGCTAAATATTATGTAATTAAAAGCTAATTAAAGTTTGATGCCAATGAACGATGACTGAAATGATAGGACAGCGTTATCACACAAAAGTTGTACACAGTCACGTTTATAGTAATAAATTACCATCAAATAGATAAAAAAAATATAGTCTCCTTATCCCCTGCTTTGTGTAAATTGCCATTATTTTAGAAAAAGCCGTGTGAGTACAGTAAGGATTGTGTTGCTAGTTTTACAAACCATAAGCCAACATAAGCTGATAAGCTAACAAATTCTACAACTATAATTATTAGTTAATGGATCTCAACAGGTGTTAATGCACCTGCCAAATAATTTGACCAGTGATGGACTTTATCTATGTTAATGAAATATGTTTTATAATACATATTCTGCAAACCCACCGTTTCATCGACAAATATATCGCCCAATCGACCTCTCTTCGCATTCTAGGGAGTCAGGCTCTTGCTCGGAACACTGGGACGGGTGGCGCTGTCCTGTAATCCAGCTACTAGGAGGTCACGAATTGTGGATATTAGGCATGGTCAGTGGATGCGATACTCCCTGGTGTGGATTAACGTCCGTACGGGTGAGTACTACTACTATCCGCAGTACTACCCTGATAATTAGACCAATTCGTATATACCAAGGAAAAAATGTGGTTCGGATTCCACTATAAACTGTAGGTCCCTTAGTCGTCATTAGCTGTATGGGCTATTAATTGTCTAAGGAATATGTCGGCCTTAGTCACTAACAAGACTACAAGATCGCGCCACTCATCATACACTCATCTCCATTCATACTTGGCTTAAAATACCTACTTTTATGGTCGCTATTTCAAAGAAAAGTGTTAAAAGTGTTAAAGTGTTACATATGCCTACTGTTAGGATTAGACATTCACAATTTTATTGCTTATCGTATAGTTGAGGCAACTGATGTTTGACGGGTATGAAACCCAGAAATTCACAAACTAAAACGTTTCTACTATCGTTTCTACTAGACTAACCCGTTCTAAATATTTTCATATTATTTTTACTATATTTACTCCGAATACCATTATGTTATTTATCCATCTAGACCTGTGTATCATGATACTAATAAAGTTTAATTGCGAAGATTAGGTAAATTGGTAAATTGGGCCCTGAATGGCGAAGTGGCGTTCAAGAGGATTGAAGGCACATTATTGATACATTTGTTTTTATTCTATCAATTAAGCTATATGTCATCCAACTTTTCTTAAGTATTATTAAAATAATTTTTTTAAGGCTATAGAAACTAATCTAGGCCTTTATATAAAAGAGATATCCTTCAGTATAAAAACATCCTACAATTAGACTAATTAAACCCCAATGATTACACAAGTTGATCCTATATTGTCTTATTATTTTTTTAAGTTTATACCATGTAAAATATTTTACATTCACCAAAATACTAATGTGTTACCAACATAACAGTTCCTTAAGCATATCTACATCTGATCTGAAGATAATAAACGTAATGGTAATATAAAACGTTTATTTTTACTCAATGACGATGGTATAGATTGTATCAAACACATGATTTCAGAAATCATTGTCTGCAAAGAAATCTTCAACACGTATCCTCAATAACGTTGCAAAATAAAATGTAGAATATTTTGTAATATAAAGGAAAATGTAGTTTCTCTGACGAAGATCTGTGTTGAAAGCATGGATCAAAAGTCGATTGGTTTGACCTGATTGAGATCCATAAACACTAGAATCAAATCACTCACGAAGCCCAGAAGACTTGGACGAAACAAATCTTGATATTCTGAGCTCTGTCAAATGGGAAACTTGTGGAAAACTATTTAGGTTAACGAACTTTATCTTTAGATACGCTTTAATTTTACCTTTGCCCATTTAATTTATGAATTCTTCTTTGGCTCAGTCAATCACACCAAAAAATAAAATTATTATAAAAAAACTGTATATTTTAATTAATGTATGGTGTAACTGTTCTTTGAGTTACCTATAGATACACATCTAAAACAATTTGATCTTGATCTATATTAAATCTTAATCTCATGCTATGCTAAGTCTAATTATCTAATCTACAAGATCACTAAAAATAATGTATCAATATATTTTTCATTGCCATGCCGTTAAAACTTTTTTTCATTTCTGGAAAACAATCAAAGACTGGTCTTTTGACGTTACAATGTGAACCTTTTGTTATGTGGAATTATCAATTACAAGCTAATTGACAACTTGCATCTAGGTTAATAATACTTGGTATCCATAACCACCAACCTTCATTCAAATTTAATCAAATAGTTCAAAAACAATAATGGAAAAACACATACTTCACTTTGTCAATCCGAGTTTAAGAGGCTATTTCTTAGTTCAATCTAGAAATGAATTATTCACTAAAAAATTTGATCAGTTGGCGTTACTCAAAGTGTCCTTTACCAAGAGAAATGGAAAGAGGAATTTCCAGAGAGTATAATTTAGAGAAGGAAATTTAAAGAGTATAATTTCCATCATTCCATCGTGAAGTGACTCACGTCCAACCAGAAAAATCGACCTCGTAGAAGAAAGTAGCCTCGCTCATTTTCCGGCCTCGGCTTCGCCTCGTTCGTTAAACTTGATTTCTCGTAAAGGTGAACTATATTTTTCGTCATATTACACCATTATTTTAGAAAACTATGTTACAATGCGAAAATACTTTTCATGGACCAATGAAATGTTACCAATTAAATGTATCGATAAATAATTTCGATACGGTACTTGAGAGTTGAGATTGCTTACAATCGAAGATTACAACAGCTAATTTTTACTCCCTAGGGACTCAGAAGGCTTTTTACTCCCTAGGGAGTAAAGAAGTTACTTTATACCCACCACGCATTTATTTAAACCGGCTGTTTTACAGCAGTAAGGTGAAAAAGTAATTTACAAGGGAAGTAAACGATACTTAATTTTTTACGAACATAATAACGATCCTAAAACCAGCATAAATATTACGGTAACCCAGTATTTTCCTGCCAGTATTTCGTCGAGAATAAACCGCAACATAGCGTGCTGGGATGTACA